AAGAGAGTCCTAGGGAGTTGCAAACTTAAACCAAGGAAAAACCTCATTGAGGAGGGGATGTTGGAACAAAGACCTGGAGGAGAGATAAGTGGACCTCCCGGAGAAGAGTGTTCCAGGCAGAAGGAACGGTTAGAGCAAAGGCTCTGAGGTGGGAAAGTACCTGGCATGTTCAATAGCGGGGAGGCCAGTGTGGTTGGAGGGCAGAGTAAGGCAGAGAGTGTGGGAGGAGGTGAGAGCAGAGGAGCCAGACCCGATGGAAGCTTTGCAGGCTGCAATGAGGCCTTTGACATTTAATGAGGAAATTGAGGTCCTAAGAGACTAATAGGAGGAAACACTTATGGTACTTATTATGAACTAGTCACTGCTCTAAGCACTTTCTATAGGTCAATTCCAAGATGCTTCTCTCTCTAGCTTCAGTTTTCTCATTGGAAAATGAAGCTTGGAATAACATCTGTCTACTAGGATCATTGTGGAAATTAAATACACAAGATAGTATATGCAGTCACCTGTTATTATAATAACAATATGTTTTGAGTGCTTATTATGTGCTAGTACTGTCCTGTCCTGATTATGTCCAGGCAAATCTCACATATTAACTCATTTTTATCCAGACAACAACTTTATGAGGTAGCTATTATTAGCATCTCCATTTTACAGAGGAGAAAGCTGAGGCCCAGAAGGGTTATATGACTTGCTCAAAGCCACACAGTAGTTGATGGAACCAGGATTCAAACTCAGATTCTGGGCTTTTCCCATTGTGTTATACTTCAACAAATAGTACATATATGGTACAGCAACTGTGTAGATTTCTAACAATTTCTAAACTTTTTCCCCTTCATGGCAATGGGGAAGAGGAGACTTAGGCTCTAGAAGAAAGTCCTGAGCTGCTCTTGCCTCCCCTGCTGCCCTCCCCCAGGGCTTCCAGGTCCCCTGCCTCAATGCCGAGCAAAACCAGCATCTCCAGTCCTCTCTGAGACGCTTACAGCAGGTGGTACAGGTAATGCCTTCCGCCTTGACTTGGCTCCACTGCACCTGCTGGGTACCCCTGGGGCTCTGACCACAGCCTCTCTCACCCTCAGCATGCCCGGGCCCAGCACGTGAGGCTCCTGGTGGATGCCGAGTACACTTCGTTGAATCCTGCTCTGTCTCTGCTAGTGGCTGCCCTGGCAGTGCGCTGGAACAGCCGCAGGGAAGGTGGGCCCTGGGTGTGGAACACTTACCAGGCCTATCTGAAGGTGTGTGGTGTGCTCCCGGGGGCTGCCAGCTGGGGTCCCAGTGCCCTGACCTGAAGGTGCCCATGTCCTCTGCCAGGACACATACGAGCAGCTGAGGCGAGATGCTGAGGCTGCAGACAGGTCCGGTCTGGCCTTTGGAGTGAAACTGGTACGAGGGGCGTATCTGGACAAGGAAAGAAAGGTGGCCCTGCTCCAAGGGGCCAAAGATCCTACTCAGCCTGACTATGAGGCTACCAGACAGAGGTAGGACTGGGCCAGGCCAGCCTCTGAGGCAAATAATAACATCCAACCTTTAATTAGAGCTCACTACCCATGATGCTGAGTGTCCTGTGTGTGTCTACTCCCTCTCCCTGGTCCAGGACACCTCCACTTCCCACCTGATCAGCAGGCTCCTCCTTAGGCTCCTCCTTGGGTTCCCTCCTCCCCACTTCCTGCTCCTTCCCAATCTGTTCTCCATGTGCAGCCAGGGGGAGCCTGTTTATACCCAAGGCAAATCATGTCCCTCCTCAGTTCAAAATCCTCCCTTTGCACCCTCAGTAAACCACAAATCCTTAACGATGGCCCATAAGGCCCTATGTGATCTGGTCGCTGTCACCTCTCTCACTTTTCCTTCCACTCTTCCCCTCACTCACACTCCTTGATGATCCCCAGGGCCTTTGTACTTCCTGCTTGAGCTACCTAGAACATTCTCCTTCTAGGCAGCTGCATGGCTCAATCCCTCACCTCCTCAGGTCTTTGTGTATTGGTACCTTCTCAAGGGACCTTCCCTGCACTCTCTATCAAAAACTAGAACATTCCCTCACCCACTCTCTTCCTGGATTAATTTTTCTCTTTAGCACTCATCGGCAGCTGAGTTTCTATGCAGTTATGTATTAAACTGCTTATTGTCTGTCTCCCCCACTGGAGTGGGTGCCCAGAAGGGCAGGGGTTTCTGA